GTCATATCATGGATTAACTTAGACTTTGGGTTTGAGATATGTTTCTACAATAATATGGACAGTTATGCTAAACAATGGCTCCAGTTTGCTTTCCCTCTCTACCTGTGGATCATTATCATTATCATTATACAATTGTGTAGGAGATATGGTAAGATATCAAGACTGATGGGGTCTCATGCTGTCCCTGTCCTATCCCTACTTACTTTTCTCTCATATACTAAACTAGTACGTACTATTGTTATTGTACTACACAAGCGTGAGGTAACTCTTCACTGTACAAATGAGTCAGTAAGATCAGTTAGTTTATGGCATGAGGATCCTAATGTTGAATATGCTAAAGGAAAGCATGCTGGGCTATTTGGATTTGCCCTATTGGTGACTGTTTTCTTTGTCATACCATACACGCTGTTCCTTTTATGTCATCCAGTACTTGAGAAGTATTTGTCACATTTTAAACTGTTTAAGAGCTGGAGTCGTTTCAAGCCTATTATTGATGCTTATAGTGGTCCAATGAAAGATGAGTATCGGTTCTGGCCTGGTCTACTGCTAGTGGCTAGGATACCGTACTTTTAACTGTCACCTTTTTGAAGAATGAATCACGTGTATTGCTATTGGCAGTAGCAGCTATTATCCTCTCCCTTAGTTTTATCTTTGGTGGTGTGTACAGAAAGAAATTGAACAATATCATAGAGTTTTGGTTCCTGTTAAACTTGTGCATCATGGCTTCTTTATCTATAGCCTTTACTGATGAGAGTAAAGTATTGATCTGGTACAATACTTGTTTATCTGTTTTCATTTTTAGTTTTATTTTGATTGTTGTTTATCATCTTTACCTGCAGTTATCACATATGAAATGTTATGATGCTCTAATTAAGAAATTATTCAAGAAACAAGATGATGATGAACCTCTTTTAGATGTAATGGAATCACATCTAACTGTTGATCAGCAAAGGAGAGCTATGGTGCCAAGTTCTACTGATGTTAGACGCCGTGCTAGTCGCGAATCAGTTGTTGAATTGTATTAAATCTTTTAATGCTGCCAGTTTTAATTAACCATACATTTATTATTGTTATTAGCTATAATTATATAGTTTCAGAAACTAATTATTAGAAAGTTAAGTATTAAGTACATACATGTATTCCTTTCTCTTTTTTTGATGATGTTTCCACTTTTACAATAAAACTATAAACTACCAATATGGAGTAGCAAGTAATACTGAAATGCTCATAGCAGCATGATAAGTCATACTCAAATTATGACTCCTTCCTATTTCTAGTATAAAATAAACACATTATTCAATGATTTAAAGTGCAATATTGCAAAACTAATTTCTGTTATGGGCATTTTAAACTTTAAAATTCAGCCTACAGTGCTGCAATATATTGTACATGTCATATATGAGCACAAACAGGTCCGTATTTTTAAAAGCTACATGTACATAATTTTTTTAATTAAAAATATTAATAAATATAATAAATATAAGCTACATGCACATGTACATGCATTAAATAATAATAATTATTATTTCATTATATATTCATTACTCTGCATCTCATACAGTCTTGAAGCAAAGAGCTCCTCCTCAACAGTAAATATACTGTAAGACACTGCATCCTCCTATTAATAATAATAACAATAATAATAATAATAATCTTCAATTCCCTAATTCCTATTACTCTATTAGTCCATTGGTACAGTGTGTGTGTGTTGTAGTGTACTAGTAGTTACTGGTAAAACCACAAATAAATAGTACTAGTATAAAGTCACTGTACAAAGTATATACCGTATAGCTGAAAAATTTGGCCATCTGAAACTTTGGCAGTTTTGCATCATAATGCCTAAATATAATATTGGCATTCTCTTAATTTGGCAGTTTACTATTTTATCTTTTCTTTAAGCACTCTCAGTTCTTCTTGAAGCTGCTCTTTGCCCAAAGTCTTGACTGAAATAGTAAAAAATACAGCCATCTTTTAGTATCACGTGCTCATGATGGAATCCAATCCAACCATCATTGCAATTATTATCATAGATATATACGCAGTTTTGTGTATAATATCTACAGTGTATGTTATTATTGATAGCTATAATATTAGTGGTTTTATTTTAAACTGCGAATCTGCCAAATTTAATTCTGCGCCAAATTTTCCAGCTATACGGTATATACAGGAACTACAGTTAATTATTTAACTAGTCTAGACATTAATTATTTAATTAATTAACATTACTTAATTGTCTAGACACCTATGCCTGACAAGGGTCATTTATTATTAGAGGAACTAATTAATGAAAATACATGTACCTTACCAAACATGTACATGTACAAGTAGTATACTACAGGGACCAATTATAAATGGAAAAACAATTACAACCACAACTACATGTTATGCTACTAGTATAATTACTATGATAACTTACTCTGTTACAAAGTTCAACAAAGTGAAAATATGCCAAGTCAGCACACGACTGGTCTACGAGTAAAAACTTTAACTTGGCCCGTGAAATAACTAATAGAAAAGAAAGAGAATTAATAAAAAAGGTCTGGGCCAGACTCAGTTAGTGGCATAAGATTAATTCTAAGGTTTAATGATACATTTTAAAGCTTTGTCCTACTCCTACCTATCGAAAAGTGAGTAAAGAATTACTTTTATGCTTTATATGGTTAACTTATTAATAATCTTATATTACATTGTTAATAATTAGATGTACAGTGTCCTGACAGTGTGTGTGTTACAAACCTTTTCCTTTCCTTTGACACAGTTCAGTAAATAATTGGAACAATTTAGAATTATTGATAGATGAATTAGGACTGGACAGTAGACATACAGTTACAGTACAAGAAAGAGAAACAACAAGAAATGAAGTCATTGACTCACTAATTGTTACTGACTCACACTAAATACACTCCTTCAGCTAATAATAACTTCTTCCTGTAATCAATTGAATCCAATTGCAAAACTTCTGTATATAAATGAATATTTATTAATTACTAATAATGTACATGTTCATGTACCTTACATGTAAATGTATATAGTACATCTACATGTATTATGGTACATGTACATGTACACGTTAAGTACATGTAAGTATATGTAGATGTAATGGTTAAGTACATGTACTTAATGTACACCGTACATGTACATGTACATTGACCAATCAGATTGTTTGATCTTAGGTTCATAAATAACTTATTTACCACTAGGAGGTTTGATAAGTAATTTCCCGGGTAATAGGAGGTTGATAAGTTTGTCTGGGAGGTTAATAAGTTTGCCCGGGAAGTTAATAAGTTTGCCTGGGAAATTAACCTCTTGCTTAAAATAGGCATGCATGCATGCCATGCTGTTGCTAAGTGTTGCTAAGTAAACTAGTTGTTTATTTTAGTACATGGTAGAAGTCAGTTATACAACTCTGTGTCGGTATCTATGGCCTTTCATAACCTACCGTATAGGGCATAATGTTCGCGGGAGGCAAATTTCGCGAAATCTACTAAAATTCCAATTTGTGGATTTTAATTTCGCGAATTCTACCACGTGTGCCATGTGGATACTGTATTAAATTGATATTTGCGGATTTTATTTTTGTGAATTTTTCTTTATCCACGAAATCAGCGAAATTTACGTCCCGCAAACATTATGCCCTATACGGTATAACCTATTTGTATAACCTATACTTACATAATGATGTGAAGAGACTCTTCAGTATCATAGCATCAGTAATATCAGTAACCTAATGATGAAGGATAGGCCATCATACACTGTATGTACATTATGTAGGGAAGGAATGGAGGAATGTAAAGGAAATTAAGGAATAAATATTATTATTATTAGGAGAGACAGAGAAGAACATAATATCACAGAGTGATCAAAGATATACAAAATATTGACTGAATACTAACTTGAAATTCATCAAAGCACAATAGTCTGACATTAGAAGCAATGTCACTGGCCACATGACCAATTGGGTCATACAGTCTAACTGATCTACCTGATGATGACTTTGGCAATAACTTCTTGAAAGAATGGATCCCTTTATAAGAAAAAAGAGATTGTGCATATAACATAAGGACATCAATATGTATCAGGAAATGTAATAAAAATTTGGGGTGATTTCGAAGCCATTTTTTGCAAAAAGCCATGAGCTGTTTTTTAAAATGGCCATACATAACTCAAAAAACTAAAGTCAGAATTGACTCAAACTTTCTACACAGCATAAGGACATCAATATGTATCAGAAAATGTAATAAAAATTTGGTGTGATTTCGGAGCCATTTTTTGGAAAATATGGGCTTTATAAAAGCCTGGGTAATTTATAGAATTTTGGCATTTTCTTAAAATGGCCATAACTTGAAAATTTAAAGTCAGAATCGACTAAAACTTTCTACACAGCATATGTATCAGAAAATGTAATAAAAATTTGGGATGACTTTAGAGCCAATTTTTTGGAAATAACCATGGGCTATAGGGCTATAGCCTTGGGTATTTTTTTAAAATTCGCCAAATTCTTAAAATGGTCATAACTTGAAAAATATTTGTCTGAATCAGCTCAAACTTTCTACACAGCATAAGGACATCAATGTGTATCAGAAAATGCCATAAAAAATTTGGGGTGATTTTGGAGCCATTTTTTGGAAAAAAGCATGGGCTATAGCCTTTGTACATGGCCCCACCTGACTAATACATGCACATTACAGTACTGTACATGTACATGTATGCACAGGTCTGTACCTCATTCAATGTGACGTGTACATGAGATTAAAGCCACTCAAGTGATTCAGCGTTTTCCTTAGCTCTCACTCCATCATTAACTTGTGAACACAATGTCTCTGATGCTTGTAATGCCATCAATAATGACTCATAGTCTGGATCAGTATTAGGAGTATACTCTAATATCTAATAGGGAAAGAGAGAGAGATAAATGTACATACATGTATACTACATACAGGACATATACTGTACATGTACATGAATAACTATTATGATGTATCAACTTTAATGGTCAAATACATGTACTTTAATTTTCACAACTACATACTGTATACAGGTACAATGTACACATACATGTACATGTACATGTGTACAAAATTACTTTTCCAATTAGTAGAGGGTACTTGGTGACACGTTGGATTGGCTTAAGGAGGAAAGAGGAAAGGGGAAGTCCCTTTGTACGAGGGTCCTTAAGACAAGCCTGCTCATACTCCCTAAAAGAAGGATCCAGACTTTTACTCTGAAGTAATGTACAAGCTGTTAGCTGACATGAACACCATCGAATGTGAGGAATTAGTTTTGGAATGTGTATAGACCTCTTCAGGTGAGATTGATGGTGGCCTATGAATATCATTACTGTTTTTACAGTATCCACCTATGGGTAATAATTGGCCACCATTTTGGATGGCAAAATTCAATGGAGGATGAATAAAGAAAATCAAAACTGATTCTTATTGTTGGCATCGAGCTTTTTCAAGCTACAAAAGCTGGTTAAAGAATGGTCGCTGCTAAGCATCTACTAAAAGGGATTTGGTGCAATATGAAGTATATTCTTTAATAGAGCTTGCTCTTTGTGTTAGCCCATTCATACTCCATACAAAGTTGCCGTCCACGAAAATTATTTCAGAGCAACTCAAGCTCAGTCACGCCCCTTGCCATATATCATTCTTTTCATTCTCACCCAAAGAGGTCTATAGTATCAATGCTACAATGTATGTTCTGGTATGATCATGGCATCTGTGCTATGACGTACATGTCGTGTGTGATGTACATGTACCATAGATGTTAAGATATTACCATAGACACCACCATAGATCGCAACTCTTATATAATATGTAGTCTCGCCCCTTCCAGTGGAGAGCTAGCTAAGAACAACAGACTTGTCCTTCTTCTGGCCGGCAATGGCCGAAGGGTCTAGAGTGAGAAGGAAGGAGATAGAGATAATGTGAAATGTACAATGCAATAATTCAGTCGGGCAGCCAAGCCTGATTTCTTATTTCTGACCGGAAGTGACGTTTTTCTCAAAATGGCTGACTTTTAGTGTGGTAGTGCCACTTGCCTATTTTGATTGTTTATGTCAAAACTAAGAAGTCTACAGTTACTTTGCTGTTCTCTGCACCTTTAGCATTGGATAAAGATGTAGCTAACTGATCTTCTACATTTATAATCAAGAACTGTTCGTGTTTCAGGTGCTTGTTTCCACTGTAAGGATTTAAAATGGCTGACACAAAAATCATACTAAATTCTATAACTTGTAAAATAGAGTGAATGCAATCACACTTACAAGGTAGCTTATTAGTATTATATATGTCTGTTATTCTGCAAAAGTTTCATTGCTCTAGGAGAAAAGGGAAAATTTTTCTAAGGTATTAAAGGTCCCAGCAAGTAGCCTAGCTATGTGTTTGTGTGTGTTTAGCATTGTTGTATCCATGAGTATAGCTTGTAATTCTTGATATATATGTAAATTGTAGCTACTGCAGTGGTTTTCAACTTTCTTTATATCTGTATTTGGAAGATATCTTGAGATTTCATGAGAGCCGCAATTTTCGTTCATATTTGTACTCATTTGAACTGTGTTAAGCACCTGGTTGGCTATTTTGGCATTATAGATCAAGGTTATTGTTAGGATATAGACTTTGATCCCAATTATTTTCTTCCTGGATAAAGATATCATGATTTATTACAATTTTTATAATAAATTTTAATTAATTTAATTATACTTAACAATAAAAAAATTGTAACTTCAGTATTCTTTGGAGTGCAATCATGAAATTTTGGTATGTGGTACTTAAAAGGTGTCTTTACAAGGTAATTGTTGTCTTACAAGTATTCCTTGTGAGGGAAAATTTTTCTAAGGAATAGAATTATTGTGTTCAAAATTAGCTGTAAGTTCCCCATAAAACAGCATAGCTTTGCTATTTTCATAAATGATGTGCTCTATTGATCAAGCACTTTATCTCTCATTGTGGCAAGTCCATTGCTGTGATAGTTCTCTGATTCTGTCCAAGTTTTCATGTATCTATGTACGCTACCACCCACGCAGTTGCTCAATGAACGAGAAATAGGTTTATACACAATTTATATGGACTTCCGGTTGCTTGGCTGCCCGACTGAATTACTTACATGTACTGACATGCTGAAACAAGCTATGAACCGTTGGATGCGCGTTAATTAGACCACATACGATATTATGGGCGTAGACTGTGGTCGCGCTACCGTAAACAATGGCTATGGCTAGAAGAGTGTTTCGTCTAGGTAAGTCCTTAATAGATAAATAGAAATATAAAGCCCATTGCATGTTATCTGGTTATCAGCTAGTGAAGTGTATGGGGTAGTATTACTGTAAAGTGTAGTCTTGAGAATAAGCTTAATTTAAAAGTTTGCTTGTCTATCGCCCATAGATATCAGTCATATGAAGCTAGTAGGTGATGCTTTGAAGAAAAGTCACTTCATTGACGCTAACTGGTTTGACCTTGGAGTGGAGTTAAAGCTACCTTATCCTCAATTGAAGAATGTTGAAGGCAGTTATGTGAATAATCCATCACGTTGCTTGAGGGAATGTTTGAGCTTGTGGTTTACTTCAGCTAATAATCGTACTTGGGAATCATTAGCTAGTGCACTTGAAAGAATGAATCAATACACAGCTGCTACACTCATCCGTAATACATGTAAGTTAATGTATTGTACATAAAGTCATAGGTTGATATACAATGTACATATGAAGTTTATAGTAGTATGCTTGTCAGGGTTCACTGCATGCATGTGATCTCTTATTGCTTGTGAACATACTAACAATAATGATTCAAGACCTTTGCAATTAGATTTACAGTTTCCACAACACCATGCAAGTGGATGTAACACTATACCAGTGGGAAATAGCAAACTACAAATCTTATCCGAGTGGCCTACTATATTGCAGCATGTGATAAAATGTGTTTTAATTGTTAATTTTAATAGATGATGATCCTGCTAGTCAGATATTGCAGCATTACAGTGATAGAATATCACAAGTATCTCTCACTAATAGTTGTATCCAGTTGTTATATACAGAAGGATTAATCACTGAGGATACAAAAAGGAAGATTGAGAGATGTGATGGCTCATTAAGTGATACACTAAGAGAATTAATGATTGCAGTATCTGATGATCACAGTAAGCTGAGGTCACTAGGAAATATATTAATGGAATTAGAAGAAACTAAACCTTTAGCTCAAGATATTATTCAAGATTGTGGTAAGTTTGAGTGAGAGTATATATAACTGCATTGTTGGCGGCCTCACTGCAATTAGTGTTGGCTTAGACTATAGCTACATGAAGGTTGTATTGCCACCTTTGAGGCCAGCATTTTACTTACTTCATACCCATGTACATGTAGCTAGAATGTTTTCCTTCAACAATATAAATGGCAGCTAGTGCATGATGGCCAAAAAGCAATCAAGGTAAGCAAAACTTCAAATGAAATACACAAACAGCTTTCAGACTCTGTCAAGCAATGTTTTGTCTGGGATAAAAAATTGTCCTATTTCAGTACATGTACTTTCATGTGTATTATAAATATAAATCTGAAATCCCAACCCAACCTGTACTAATTTCAGCAAGACAAATCATTTGGCATGGCAACCCAACACTAAAGAACAAAAGAAGTCTTTAAATTTCCAATTGTTCAAAACTTTTCCTTATGCATGCTGGTTCTTACTTAGTTGTGGCTATCAGTTTTTGCTTGCCTATAGGACTTATTATCAACCATTTGCACTAACCTAAAATGATACAGTGTTAAGTATTCATAATACAATTGGACTTGCCCTATGTAATTTTTACACTGCCGCAAAGTGCATATAAAGTATAGCTTTTTATTTTTTCAGATGAATTGTTTCCTATTGATGATACATCTAATACTATTACTTCACCTGTACCTGCAGTTGTATCAGATAGTAGTAATAATAATGCTACACTACCAGTACCACCAGGTAATGTTAGGTATATCAAATAATAATAATTTTAACTATTTGTACAGATATTGTCACGTCATCTAACCATAATGTTACAAAATCAGTGACACCATTATATTATATTTCTATAATAGTTTTATTTCTAGCTGTAATTTTTTATCATTTTTCTATTTTAATTTTTTTGTCATATTTATGTATATTTTTTGCTATTTTATTTTTATATTTGATTATACTTGTCGCTACTAATACCAGTGCACCAGACTCATCTGTTATATCATCAAGTAAAATTATTGTATTGTTATGTTAATTCCATGTACACATTATTATACATAAACTGTAGTTAGACCAGTTACCAGACATACATCTACCAGTACAGTTGATCATTCAAGCACAAAAATGCTTTCACTTTCAGGTACATGTATAATGACTATTATATATTCAGTACATGTTTAACATCTATAGCTGGTGAGTTCTTTTTCAATGCAGCACATCAGTCTACTTTTGATGAGATCAGAGGAAGTTTTGGTATTCTTATTGACGAGATCATTTCATTGATATCTCAATCAATTCTATCAGCTGCAAAAATGAAGTCATTCCTTCAACTGTCCTTCCCTGAATTGAAAGATGAGCTGTCTAATGCTGATAGCATTGAAGCAATTATGAATGTTGTAGTGAAGGATTGCCGCATCAATAATATCTCAAAATTAAAAACAATTGTAAAACGTTTTAAAATCACTGAAGCAAATCCTTTGATATCAGAATATGAAGAAGAAGTGAAGACAGTTTGTGGATCATTGAAGGATTTCCTTTGTCAGAATCAACCCGAACATCTTAACAACTGTGAAACAATTCAGTTTATTTTGGGATGGGAACCAGAGGAGCACTCTCTTGATGACATACGTAATCTTTTAGAGGAAGCATTTAAAGAATTAAACAAGAGGATTATCGTACAAAGCATTCATCGTGGGAACTCCATCATTATCATCTGTTATGGTCCACATCATTTACTAGCTGCTCTTCTCTTGGAAGCACAAGACAGCCTAATTGTCTTGATGAAGGAATTCAGTTTAATTAGACTAACCTTTGGCCGCTACACTGTCTATGATAAAAGGATCAGATACAAAGTATATAATACTGTAACTGTATGAGACCTTGTTTAATTTACTGATTATAGGTAATGAATAATGAGTGTCTTGTGGAGGAAATTAAACTAGCTGATGGAGAGGAAGAAAAACTAAGGACTTTATTTGATTGCAAAGAAGGTGTGTGAATTGATCTATACTAGACAAATGTACATGTAAAACATTAAAAGGGCGAGCCTAAGCACTTGTTACTCAATTACTGATGTTACTTATACTAATGGTATAGGATCAATATTTGAACAAAGCAAACAACTGACTATCATCAAAGAAAGAAAAGGTATAGTTATTAAATGCTAAAAGATATTTAGATCTATCTTAATGTATTTTTACTATAGAGTGTATCGAAAGGACACTACAGACACAAGGTATAATAACTTCTACTAATGAGAGACATTTTGAACATCATCATGTATTATGTTTATAAATTTGTATTGTCACTGTGTCATAACTGTAGAGTTTAAACAAAAAGTGAAACTACAAACTAAAGAGAAGTTCATGAATAAAGAATTCAATTCAAAAAAATCAGAGACTCAGTTTTTTCGAAACTCTTTCAAAATAAAAGCAGGTATTGACTCTACTGGTATAATCTGTCTATACTACCTCATCACAGGAAGAGAGGAGGCATTAGTGGAGTATAAGAAAGAGATTGAGTTACTACAAGAAAATATATCAGCAACTAGCGTACAACTGCTGATGGTACAAAAGGCGAATATTCACAGTATGTGATATGATAGTAATTAAATCATAACTGATTGATATTGGATATTATATAGAGAAAGATCAGTGTACACAATCAATGGTAGTAGATGCACCAACAGCAGAATCTATTTGCACAGCACATTATGATTATCATGAAAAGGACAGTAATGAAATATCCTTTAGTAAGGGAGAGCAGCTTAAAATTTATGACAAGTGGAGTAGATTTCGCTGGAAAGGAAGATCCTTGGTGTCTGGTGATGAGGGAGACATTCCTAGTAGTTATGTTTGCTCAATGTTGGAGTCACTTCAATTGTTAGAGTTTATACTGTCAGTGGAAGAAGTGTCCCTTCCTATTCTACAAATGATAAGGAATGATTCATCTAGTAATGATGAGAAAGCTTCTCTTTTCTTGGAGACTATTAATGATGATCCTATTATGATATCTGCACTGAGAGAAGACAAGGAACAATATGATAAAGGTATATTATTTGTGATTTTTGTGACTCAGTAAGTCAGTATATAATTTTACAGTATAAGTGTTTAAAATTTTGTATTTGCAATGAAAAAAGAGTAAAAATTAAAAGTGTATGAGCTAATTTTCATGTTCTGGGCATTGTCTATGTATACAATTAAATCACATTGGAGGTGGTTTAAACTTCTTCGAATTAAAGCAAACCAGAAAATAACAAAAATTAACACACCACAAAAATTACTGCGTATAAAGTTGACTTTGTATTTCATATGTTATTGCCTGCACCTTGTGTATGTCAGTGTGTTGTATTGTGTATTGATGATGGTTAGTGAAAGTGCCCATTTAAAAAGTGCCAGTTTAGAATATGATGCTATACAACAGTCAATTTTAAATCAAAAGTGTAGGAGAATTGACTTTTTACTGATTTTATTGTATACATGTATCCCTGTCCCTACATACTCATTGCACAGTATGCTATTCACATGTACATGTACATAATATTTTTTGTTTATTGGTTTTAGTGACAATGTAAGTTGTATGCATGAAAGTGAATAGGTATATGATTATTGCCAAGTGGTGGTACAGCTTGGTTATTAGGGTTGATAGGCAAGCATTCTGAGGCATTATCTCTGAAACAACTCATGACTGGTCTTTATCTGCTGTATAGCAGAAAATTTTTGGGGGAGTAGTTAAATTTTGGCAAATTGCTAAATTTTGGTGATTGGCAAATTTTAATTTGGCAAATTTGTGGCCAGGTGCCATTGAGTATGGGTGTAATGGCTCAAAATGGCAGGTTTTTATTTTGGCAAATGGCTATCAAAACACCAAATTTCCAAAATTCATTGTAAAATGTGTATAATAATTATAATTGTAATACTTTAGTTTGAATTATTTATTAGGTATCGCTGGGAAAGTGGATTGGAACAGGAACAGGGTAATCCTTAACTCTCCATCTCTGGCTCAGTGTAATGAAGTGATTAGTAATATTACTGATAATCATAAGAAAATTGGTCTCCATTCCTCATCTACTAATAGCACACTATCTTTGTTATCATCAAGTAAGCTGTATACACTAAACCTGAGGAGACTTGAGATATATGGCTCTCCATTAACTAATGACTGTATCCAGCACTTGTGTAAACTACTAACTAATGAAACACTACCAGAACTAGTCATCAGATACCACTCCATTAGTGACAGAGGAGTTATTAATATTTATGAAGCACTTGAACATAACTCTACACTTATCTTATTATCTTTATCTGATAATCCTCTCATTACATCAAGCAGTGCAGAGGCTTTTTCTCACCTCCTCGACAATAACTCATCACTAAAAATAATTTATCTAAGTTATACCTCATTGTCTACTGAGTCAATACTCCTCATTCTCAAGTCGCTATCATGTAACACAAATGTTACAAAAATCTGGCTAGACTTGCGACACAAAGAGACTTGTATTAAGACCTTTCCTGACTATCACCTCATAGAAGGCAGAATTAACTGGGGGTAATAAATCACTTTTCATTGACTGAAATCTCTTAATTTTATATGCCTACTGTACATGTATACCATAGTCTTTATTTATGCCTATACTCACTATAGTTATTAAATTAATTTTTCATTTTTTGCTTTAATCATGCAGATTATTGTTCCCCTAATCAAATAGGGTATGCATACATTTACTTGTATGTTATGGCATTGAAAATAATTACTACTTTGATTGTGTTATTATAATGACTAATGTATTGTTGTTTGTTATTATTATTTGGTATGAATTTTTAGGTTATAATAATGTTGTTCTATAAATCCTATAGCTGTTATTTCGATTGAAATAATGTAAAAAAATGAGGTATTACACTTCATTGACGCTGTAAAATATTGACTAAACTATCACCTTAACTAACTCTTGAAAATCAATTTTAGTTGTGTGTAATAATTATGTAAAAAATGAGGTATTAATAATAATAATCACAGATAAAAATCACTCTTTCTCTCAGTCTCTTCATTAATCAATCAATCATTAATGTGTTCCACTAATATTCCTTCTCATTGGTTGATATGTTACTCTTAATGCAAGTTCTCCTTTAGGTACATCTTCTAGTAACAATCTTTTAGTCCATGGGCCATTGTTACCTCCTTCATCTCTTAACTGCTTTAATGACAACTTAGCACAACCTAAGAAATCTAGTGAGAGAGAGAGAAAAGAAATATGTAATGTCATTATATTAAAACAATTTACTATTGAACAGAAATTAAGACATTCAGAGGAGGGGGTACATGTTGTACATGTACATGTACACAACACAAGCAAATAAATTGTGTTTTACCATTAGGTGAGAAGAGGTCACTATCAAACACTGTAATCTCTAATACAGTATCATTAGGATCACTTATTAGAAACTCTGGCATCTATAAAATAATAATAATAATGATAATAATAGCTTACATGTACATGTACATGTACTTACCGTATAATTCCATTTAGGATTTAAATCGTTTTTAATAACTGGTGTAGCTGATTCTTGATTATCTCCAACTCTTATAACACAGAATGGATCACTTTTACCATCAGCAGATGATGCAATGAGATCAGCAGCTTCAACAACTGTCACAAATAACTTGCCACTAGCCACCTTACGTAATGTCATCCTACGACTATCACCTGTTAATTAATTGATGGGTGTGGTTAATATTAATAATTAATGGGAGGATTATAGTTACTTCTTATTAGTTTAGAACTTTGTTTCTGTTTTCTTACATACTCTACACAAGCTTCCATTATCTGCTTAACCCATTTATCTCTGAAGAAGGGAAATAGAGAGAGATAGGGATCATGCAATGAAGAAATAAAATACATGTACATGTAGGCCAGTGAATTCTGTTACCTTCCAGAATCAGTTTCAGCCTTTAATG